GGGGGGCGGGGGGTGGGGGGGGGGTTATAGAATTTTGGAGAAATACACATGTTATATACCGTAGTACGCTTAATAGCAGCTCATATTACGTCATCAGGTATTTCATGTATTCTGTAACATGTTTTCTTGTTTTCTTTGTTTCAGATACAAGTATATCAACATCATATGGTTTTGTTCCAACTGGTTAGCAATGTCCAATTCCTGTTACAATCCTTTCATCTACGGCCTTCTAAACGTGAGTATTTGATACAAACAGCCACCTGATATTGTCGATTAATTGATGTTAAACGTTTATATGTAAGTTCCTTGTATTTCACGAGGAAATATCATACAGCACGAGCTTCTCACCTAAAATAACTAGTTGTATTAACACTTTATGCTCTGATCACGAGCATATTTCGCGAAAAATTTAAAGTGTACATGGCAATTTCCTGCTCAAAGAATGAGCATATCTCCCGAAATGATAAGCGGTACATTAAACATTTATTGCCCTTGCAGTAGACAATGTGATTATTTGCTTAACGGAAATTAATCAGGCTTTACCAAGACAAAGCCTATTTTCCAATAAGCCAAAACGGTTATGGTCTATAAAGCACTACTTTGTAAATAGAAGCGCAGACTCGCGAACAGGACAAACAAACCTGTACCCTTTGCCGTAATGTACGTGTTCGGATGAGTGTATTTACCATGAACAAGCATGAAATCTCGTTTGTCTAGACTGCCAAATTTTCTCGTAAATCGTACAAAAGTATACAGGTAATTTTAAACCTTTTAAAGTACTGATAACTTTTTCTTTAGATTTTTTTCCTGAAAACTGTAATAAAAATCCGTCTATATTATCATTTACGATGTCAGATTCTTCTTGAGATTTGACGATGGTTTCAGAGGCGCCGGTCTCTTTGAAAATAATTTGCTGTTTTCAGTTTGTCAAGTTTAATACAGCCATGTAAAAAGCATTTGTAATGCAGTGTCTGTCTTCCGACAGTTTGTCTGAACTCGCTACCTTATACTAGGGGCACCTCAGTAGATTGTTGCTGAACTTCCGACTGTTCTGACTTTAACGGGAGACCTGACGGGCGCCACATGTTGTACAGGACACACTTATCATTACGGACCTCACTGTTTGTGGTATAAGACATACTTATCATTCGGGACCTCCCGGTTTGTGGTATAAGACATACTTATCATTCGGAACCTCCCAGTTTGTGGTATAGGCATACTTATCATTCGGGACCTCCCGGTTTGTGGTATAAGACATACTTATCATTACGGACCTCCCTGTTTGTGGTATAAGACATACTTATCATTCGGGACCTCCCGGTTTGTGGTATAGACATACTTATCATTCGGGACCTCCAGGTTTGTGGTATAGGCATACTTATCATTCGGGACCTCTCGGTTTGTGGTATAAGACATACTTATCATTCGGGTCCTCCCGGTTTGTGGTATAGGCATATTTATCATTCGGGACCTCCCGGTTTGTGGTATAGGCATACTTATCATTTGGGACCACCCGGTTTGTGGTATAGACATACTTATCATTCGGGACCTCCCTGTTTGTGGTATAAGACATACTTATCATTCGGGACCTCTCGGTTTGTGGTATAAGACATACTTATCAATCGGGACCTCCCGGTTTGTGGAATAGGACATACTTATCATTTGGGACCACCCGGTTTGTGGTATAGGACACACTTATCATTCGGGACCTCCAGTCCAAACAAAAATTAAACAAAATCAAATTTCCTGACACATATAATTTAATACTTAACTACCTTTTTTGTGGTATAGGACACACTTATCATTCGGGACCTCCAGTCCAAACAAAAATTAAACAAAACAAAATTTCCTGACACATAAATTTAATACTTAACTACCTTTTTTAGCCCAATACCAATATATCGTCTCCAGATTTTCAGATTTCTATTCATTTCAACCAATCACCATATCCAACAATATGCCTTAGTCCACACCAGGGATTTTCTCAAAACCTTTTTTTATAAATGGCGCCAGTCGTCATCTCCCATGGTTTTCCTACCCTAGGCATTATCGATTATGTTGATGATCTCCTTATATCAATGTCCATGAAGGCTAGGTCAAGGTCAGGTATAACTATTTGACAAGGTATCTTTGTTTGACATATGTATCCGACATGTATGGTTCGCCCGTCCTATATGCCATCGTGGTCTCTGTTCTATGGTTGCCTTGTATCTTGCACCCGTTTTACTGGTGTAGCTGACACGTACATCAGGTTGTAATCCATAAAACGCCGCTGTATGATACAGGAACTTGTTTTGTTTGGCTGACGGTCACTTCACTGAAATGTCAGCGAAGCGATACAATGCCGTTTTTCTTCTTCTTTTCTAATGATTTCTACTAATTTAGCGCAGTTTAAGAAAAGATTAATTTCGACATAGATGAAGATTATCTTCTACAGACACGATATTTGAACCAACAGGATATATATTTATCGTAGTTACATAAAAGAAACGTTTTTTTCTGATTGCTTTGTTTTGTAACAATACTTTAAAAAGCTCTACATTAGACTAAATGCATTATCTATGGAATAAACCACGATTATTTGCGGTTATATTTTTTAATTAATTAAAGGCTTTATCCATTCTTGATAACATATTTAGCATAAAGTTCATCTTACATATGGTCAAGATACAATGTATGACATTAAATGGTTGTCTGAACATTTAGTTTATATAAAACTTTATCCGTGTAAATGTGAAATATTAAAACAAGGACAAAAAGAAAACAACACTTGTTTTGCGTTAACTGTGAACACAGATGTGACATTAGTCTCTTGAGAAATTGATGGTCACATTTTTCTTTCATGCGTAAATCAACAGGACAATTTCATATACTGTAAATGTATTGGACATCATTATAAAACAAAGTATAATGTTAATTTTAAATCAAATTCTTTCTTTTTTTGTCGAATCTTTTCACAATTCAAATTCAGGTAAAAGGGCATATGTGGCCAAACTATCTTTAACTGTTTATAACCGTGCAGTTCAACCATTGAATAGGTTCATTACTTCTCATTTGAGGAAAACTGTCAAGTGAGGTTGCTTTCCTGGCGATGAATACGCATTACGTTAGAGCGAATTTACCCGTATTTTATAGCCTCTCCCAAGCCATATACATTCCTGGGGGAACAATCTTTTAATTCAACTATGTTTTGTTGTTGTTTTCGTACTTTGCTCTAACGGAAAGGTGGCTCCGTACTGAACATTTGACAGTACTGAGGTGTCTTTGGTGAACATTAACAAGCCGGGAATGGCAGGATTCTTGTCAATTGGGAATTGAAGATTTCGAAAGGAATTGTAAATAATCACAGAAGTGCACTTAGGGATATTTTTATAAATAATCTCATTTCCTGACTTCAGTAACTAGTGTCTGGTGCACTTTGTTTTTTAAATTACAGTAATTAGATTTAACAATTTATCTCTAAATATAACAAGGACGACTGGTTGTCTGAACATTTAATTGATGTGTTGAACACGTGTATGTTAGCGTTACGCCCGCTGTAAGTGTATGGGATAGATCCCTCAGCTAAACGATGCATATAGAGAATATTACATGTAGAGCTGTAAAACCCTTGCTTAAAACTGTAACTGATTTCAGATTCTTTGTGTCAAAGGATCAGAACGATTTCGAACATTGACCAAAATGAGTCTTCTGCGTCATGTTTTGGTATTAGTATCCCCTAAGCTTTAATCTTTATTCTCCATTTGACGTCATAATATAATCTAAAAGTCTCTGACGTTAATTCAGTATCATCTTATGACGTCACAGCAGTTCCTTGTAATCTGAGTTGTGTTTGTGATCCCTAGTAATCTGAGTTGTGTGTGTAATGATTATAATAATATACAACATTTATATAGCACCCTGTATAATTTGTAGAATTGCTCTAAAGCACAAGGACAATAGTATCAGGTTTAACTGGTAAACAATAAACAGGCTTACAATCACCATTAAAAATTAAGATAATCATCTGAATGTGAACATAGATTAATAAATAAAGGGTGGTATGTACACGACGTCTGTACAAACAGCCTAAAGTGCAGAATTGAAGAGGTAAGTTTTTTATGTCCTTTTTGAATTCGGCAAAGGTAATTGGCTTTCTAATATCATATGGTAAGACAGTCCACAACGTGGCCGCAAGCCTCCCAAAGCCCTCGTTTCCATAGTTACCATAGTACGAGATTTTGGGACACACAATAATGATTCTGACTCCGACCGCAGTGATTGTGACGGCTGATACAGGGTAACAAGCTCCTGTAGGTACCGAGGAGCTGTTTCATTCAGTGCTCTGAATGTGTCCACCAAAATTTTGTATTGCTACCTGTATCATACAGGTAACCAATGAAACTAATATAGCACAGGTGTGATGTACTCTCTCTTTCGAGTACGAGTAACCAGACGTGCTTAAATGTTCTGGACCCTCTGCAGACGAGTTGGTTTGACAGATATACCAACGTACCACAGAGCAGGGCATTACCATAATCCAACCGAGAGGTAACAAGTGAATGCACCAAAATCTTGCATGCATCTGCAGTTATAAACTGCCGGATACAGCCGATGTTCCTGATCTGGTAGTAACAGGATTTGGCAATAGCATTCACTTGTTTCTCCATGTTCAGTGAACTATCAAAGTATACCCCTAGGTTTTTAACAGCTGGAACAGTCTCAATAGTTATGGCACCGACCTTGAGCTGGAGAGCCATTGCTTGCTGACACTTTGGGGAAAAGACAATCCAGGTACTGATGTCAGTCAGACAAGCTTCCAGGTTTTTTGATATTGTATTCCAACTGTCATGTTGTTTGATGACTGTGTAAATGTGTGTCATCAGCGTAACAATGATAGCGAAGGATATGGACAACAAATCTCACCAATAGGTTTGGAATATAGGCAATATTTTCGTGGTCCTAAAACCGACCGTTGAGGAACCCCAAAAAATAATATTTTGTAAAGTGAGGTGGTAGATCCGATGGCAACACACTGTCGTCGTTCACTAAGATAATATTGTATCTAGCATAGTGCGGTATCAGTCACTCCATAAGAGCACTCCAGACGTATATAAAGTATGCCATAGTCGATGACGTAAAATGCATTTGACAAATCCAGCATGACAAGCACCGATCTGCATTTGTTATCCAATGCAGAAGCTATATCATTATGAACACGAAGGAGGGCCGTCTCAGTAGAGTGTCCCATGCGGTAGGCCGGGAGAAGGTTGTCATGGAGACTGGTTGCATGGAGATGAACCTCTGAACGCCAGGACACAACCTTCTTCAAGATCTTAGACAGAAAAGGCAGATTTGATTCGTTGCAGTAGTTTTCAACACCTCCTTTTTATTCCAGGCTTCTTCAACAAGGATCTTACATGTGCTTTTTTGAAACACAATGGAACCTTTAACTCAGCCAATGAATTGTTCATGATTGAGGTAATCAAAGGAAGCAGTGCTTCAAGACGTTGCTGAAGCTCACAGGACTTCGATTGCGAGGTTATGATGATATAGCGCAACTGATTCTGGGTTGTTGGCGAGAGCTTTGTCAATGATTCCCCATCTAATGTCAGCAGTCATGACAGAGATATTATTGTCAGCAGTAGAGTTCACTTCGGCAATACTTTTCCTGATCGAGTCGATTTTATTCAGAAAATAATCACTGAATCTGAAGTCTTTTTCAGAAGTACTGCTTGGCAGGATGATTTCACCTTTCTGACCCATTAATGTTTTTGGTGAGTCTAAAAAGCTGCATATGGTCCTTACCACATTCTTCTATTCTTTCCGAATAATAAGCCTTCTTTGATTGAATGAGAAGTGAACCAACTAACCGACATTGCTCCCTATAAATCTGTTGATGGACGGTTAATTTGGCCCTTCGCCACCGTCTCTCTGCTTTTCTTCGATTCTGGTTTCCTACTCGGAAATTTTCATGATACCACGGGCATTCGGTCTCACAGTTATCACCTTAGCTTGTAGAGGTGCGTGTATAAGGGCTCAATACCAGATGTGTATGCCTCATCAAGATCATCAACCCCGCCTTCAGTAGATTGAAGGGCAGAAGACGACTGAATGTCATAGTTAAAATCTGGTACTGAAATTTCGCGAAATTTCTGGGAGCTCACCTCTTTCCTTGCACGAGCTGGCTTACTACAATTCAGTGTTGCGTGGACAGCAAGATGATTGGTTCCCCTTTACATCACTTAGACATGGATGATCGAGCTATCTTCCCTTGTTATGACCGCATCCAGTGTGTGGCCTTGGGTGTGTGTAGCTTCTGCCACATGTTGTATCAGACCATGGGAATCGAGTAGCTCAGAGAACTGACGAACATCAATATTAGATAGATTGTCTAAGTGAAAATTTTACGTCACCCGTGATAATAATATCTTGTGGTACAAGAACGTGGTGGTCTAAAAAGGAAGACCACTCATAAAAAACACTGTATTTCGGAAAGCATTCTGTTAAGATGGAGGAGGCCTGTAAACGATACACAATCTAAATTGTTTATCACCAGCAATGACACAGCAATGCATGTAATCAAAGTGTGTATACATCATAATGGCTGGGAGAGATATGTCTCGCACTTAGGTCTTTCTTAAACAGAACATCCACCCCGCCACCACGTCTGCCGAGTCTAGTATAGCAGAGGAATAACTGACTTACAGTGATCAGATGTTGTTGGCTTCATGACATATAGATTCTCGTACGATACTGATGATGTCGAAATCCGTGTGGAAGTATCGTTGTGAGAATGCACAATAGTGTTGATGCCTAATACTTCTGTAAGTGCAGGGTGAAATTCCTGGTAATCTGTGTTTGTGTGTATTTCCTGGTAACCTGAGTTGTGAGTGTCATCATTGGGTGTCTAATTCCTGTAAAAGATTTGTTATTTTTTGGCGTTTAAGTTGTTTTAAGTGTTGTTCATTTATATAAGATCGATTTATCGCTGTTACTTTAAATACACACAAGTGTTGCTGTGAGTGTTACTTAATACCAATGACTTTGACGTTTTCCTATAGGATTGCAGATGTTTCATGTAGATGTAGATGCAACGCCGGTCGATTCTTCGACGCATTCGACGGCACAAAGATGAAACTATTGACTTTTAGAATAAACATATGGTTATCTGGACTTCTGTATAATTCATGTACATGAGTCCGGAAGAAATGCTCCTCTGTGGTATTAATGACGCGTGCATGTCCCGGTGTAATTGTTCAAAGGCGAATTTCGCGTAAAAGAGATTGCATTGTTAAATATCTTACCAAAGTTGTCTGGCTTGTATACGTGTAAGGATTACGAACGTATGCCTCTATGCGGCGTTACAGTAGATGCACATGGCGTTATCATTTTGCGAAAAAGACATATTTTACGACGCAAGCATTGTTTTTGTTAAGATTGGTTTCGCCTCTGAAATGATTGTTTGAGCGTAGACATGGCCTATCTCTTTAAACGTTACCCGGGGAGAGTTTACACTTCGTCAAACCCTGACCTGCCCGCGCTAACATTACATTACACTCTGTTCAACAGCTGTGTGACAGCATGTCTTCCGCCAAAATTGAAAAGAAAATTGATAGTGACCTTGGCCGTTTTCAATCGTGTTTGGCCTTCAAATTCTGACATGTCCGGTTAAGGGATATTGACCAGTCGGATTGGTAATTGAATGCGTCACTCACGATTGGACATCCGCTCCCATCCCTTCCTTGACAGCTATTCACACTAACAAAGGCATACAATGCCAGACACTGGTGCCATAGAAAGAGCTGCAGACGTTGTCCAAAACTAATAAATTCGAAGAAAACTTTTTTAAATGACAAGTATGTACGTTTCGGTCCAATGTTTATAAACTAATGGCGTTCCAAGCAGACGACCGATGTTCTGTTCCCGATCGAGTTGCTATTATCTTCTATCAACCATGAAACTGCATCGTTGTAGGGTATGACGTAATAACATGTGTGTCAGTTATGAGAAAAAAACATCTGCTTTGAGATCGAAACAAAAATAGACTACGGCCGCTACAGAGGACTTTAACTTAAGAAGCCAATGAAATGACGGTATTGGTAGAAACTAAAGACTTGTCCAATATCGGCCTTTTTGTTTATTACATGCAATTTCCTATTTACAATAGGACTGTAAATATTCGCTGACAGACACGTGGACTGACGAGTGCTTGACATAAATGTATGTTTGAGACACGTGGACTGACGAATGCTTGACATAAATGTATGTTTGAGACACGTGGACTGACGAGTGCTTGACATAAATGTATGTTTGAGACACGTGGACTGACGAGTGCTTGACATAAATGTATGTTTGAGACACGTGGACTGACGAGTGCTTGACATAAATGTATGTTTGAGACACGTGGACTGACGAGTGCTTGACATAAATGTATGTTTGAGACACGTGGACTGACGAGTGCTTGACATAAATGTATGTTTGAGATACGTGTACTGACGAGTGCTTGATATAAATGTATGTTTGAGATACGTGTACTGAGGAGTGCTTGACATAAATGTATATTTGAAACAAAAAGGAATCTTGTCGGTGGCATAAACACACTTTGATAGTTTAAGTATGGTCTTCAATGCATAATATTTCAAACTGTTAACCAAATTGTCAACATCAAAAAATCAATTTAAAAGCGTAAATATTTAAAATGCGTTTTATAGAATTTTTGCAATATTTCCCCTTTTAAAAGATAAAAAAACATTACAAACTTACGAACTTAGAGTTTATCTCTAAACTTAAAGTTGACAATGTATATGTAGCTATAGTTAGCCGCACCACCTTTATTCTGTGAGTAAGGCTCGACCAGTTAACGCAATAGATAGAGGTAGGGATTTGGATGTTGACGTAAAACATCACAGTTATGACGTTTTAAAGAAAACAAAACAAACAAAGGAATGTGGTTGGGTTTTTTAAAAAGACCACAAAAAGAAATCGGATGACACTGTTTTACACCTGTTGGGATAGAATTGCTAACCGAACTATATGAAGACATGTATTTCTACAGTGCTATAAACAGCGATAAAAGTTAAGCCACTTTAAACGCCAATGGCATACTATGCTCTTTAACAACTGCCTGTACAAGGAAATTCCCGATGGAGTTTATCAACAGTTTTCAATGATTAAATGCTACTGAAATTGACAGCTCGAAAACAACGAAATAGGGGGAAATGTGTCACGCTCAAAGCTAATCGCCAAAATGGATTTCTTTGGCTTAGACTAGAGATTGTGATATAGCGTATTGGAGATAATGGATCACTGTCATCCGGTACTGCCATACGACAATCTTACAGCCACTGATGCAATCGAAGGTTTTTGTTATATATTAGGTAGCTAAGGATATCGTTTTGTCATTGATTTCCTACCGATAAACGGGAAACTATCAATCAGCCTCGATATGGCATTCTCTGCTGTTAATTCCCGTAATGGTACGCCTGAAAACACTGTTTGAAATGTATTAAAAGGAAACCCAAAATGATGTGGGTTTTTTAAATTATTTCATAATTATGGCATATGTAAATTGCAGTTGAAATTAGTACTACATCTCTGATTCCCCCCGGATCAATCCGCCGTCGCCCTGGAGACCTGCGCGAAGAAGTTTATGGGATTTATAGATATGACGTCACGGTTATGACGTGGTAAGATATTGCCGCTCCAGAGAATTTCCTGAGTAGCAGTTGCCCAAGGCACTTTATGTTGTTCTACTCCGCATATACGGGACATGGTTTGGGTTGGGTGTTACAGTTTTTTTGCTGTGGCAAGACATCCTAATGAGCTGTTTGGCATACAGATCGATAACAAGCTGACCACGTATACGCCTCCAGCCTTTTACCAGAGCATGACAGTTGTCCTACTAAAGCAAGGGTAAACAGAACTACGTCACAAAATTGGGGATCGCATGCACAATATTTTTGCTTTTATTTTTGTAACGAATGTTGTAGTATATTTCATTTTTATTTTTCATTGAAGTTCGGAAATTTGCCTCGTAATTATATAGTGTTTGTCGTTACAGTGCGATCTTGTAAAATTTGACTTTTTATTTTGTCGGTTACAGGAGAAATTCAAGCGGGAGTTCAGACTACTATTTCGCGTGTGTGCTTGTCGACGTTCTGAAAAGGAAAGCGAGCTGGGAGAGTATTCCGACGACAGCGCCATCAATCGGGGAAGTACCGTGATGTTGAATGGTAGGGAAACTCTCCAACTGAACGGCAAAGTCTATAAATCACGTAGAAACACGAGACCTACACACACAAACGAGACGGAACAGAGTATAATTTGACAGGCACGTGTACCGGAACCGGATATTGATAAATATATATTTAATATAACACTGAAGAGTGTTAATACAAATGTCGCTCGAGTTGATGGAATTGAATGGAAATAGAAACTGACGCTGAATGTACAGAAGTTCTGTTGAGAAAACATAAATTTGGTTTGAACGACTGAGCAAATTGATTTAAATATTGAAAATAATGTTAAGAAAGTAATGAAACGGCCCCTATTATCTATATTTTTTGACATTTCAGTTTATGAAGCAGAGGAGCCTCGTTCATTAGAAAACATACCTCAAGAAACTGACATATTTCTAAGCGAAATTTGTTTTTCGGTTGACAGGAATATTCGATTACCGGAATTATTTTCAGTCGAACGAGGCTTTTCTCTACATAAAATATCCGGATTGACGAGGTTCTCTTATTATCGGTATGTTAATCGTATTATGAATTATTATCTGCTAGACTTACCCTCATTTTACCCTGCCGCCTTCAATCTGGTTAAATCGTAGATGCTTAACAGTAGAACCTCTCCACTAAAGAAAAAAGAAAATAATGATTAAGATTATTGTAACTACCGCCAAAACGCAGAAAACCCGACGTTCATCTTCCCGATTCATTTCTCTTCTTTATTTAACGGGGGCTCCATCAATGTCGATGTTTATGCCCTCGTGGGTCCTTTTGCAGAGGCGTGAAAAATGGGGTTATTTACAGTAGTTAGTTGGGTTTTTTCTGTGATTTTTTTGTGCAAGGTATAGATAAAAGATAAAAGCTGACGTATGTTTTAAGCGTGTGATGAGGGCTTCATGGGCTGCATAGGGTAAGTGTGCCTTGAAGTCCTATAGTGTTGTGCATTGTACTGCTTCTATGGGAAGGAGATTCCATTGTGTTATTGTGTGTGGGAAGAAGGAATATTTGTAGGTATCCTTTGTAGCAGATATGTGTTTGTATGTAAAGAAGTCGCCATAATCCTTTTCTTGTCATTGAATTATTTGTAAGGGTTTGAATTTGCAACTGGAGATCACAACGATCTTCATTATCTTAAAAGATTTATTTCCTGTCTGTCAATATTCGGAAATATAACATTTTGAAATATCAAGTGTTATGGTTATTTATAAATCTTTAGACTCAATCCTAGCTGTTACGTGTAGCTGTTGCGACCCTGCTCATTCGATCAACAAGAAAAGGTCAAAGTCGGTATTTTGAGTGTAAATATTGACAGTAAGTATGTCATATACTGCGAAAATCACTAATTTTCGTTGGGTTTTTGATTTCGTTGATTTCGTGGGTGATCTTCATCCACGAATCCATAGGTCCACTAAGTAACTACAAGTTTAATATATATACCAATACTCGTAATCCACGAATTCATGTGCCCACGAAACGGTGTGTTCTCGGGAAATCAAGAAAATTGGACCTCACGAAAATATCTTGATTTTCACAGTATCTCCTGTTAATGCAATACAACATGATATGTATGTCGCCTTATTTTGAAAACCAAAGGGAATCAATGTATAATGATATCAGTGAAGTTATCCAATATTGTTTTTAACAAAACTATTACAGAAATTTTAATATTTTGTGTGTTTATCATCTCGCTGTGGTAGTCTGTGTGCAGCGTCCTCAGCTTTTCGATAACGATATCTTTGTTGTCCTTGCTGATATGTTAATTGGTTTTCTAAGAAATTGTTTATATGGTTGGTTAATTCTCACAAACCTATAGCTTGTATACAAAACAAACTATAGCTAATGTATAATGGCACCAGTTTGACGGTCATCTGCTGGCTAGCAATATCATTTTGTCGTTGGTCCTGAACAAACCTCATCGGACACACACGAGGGATTGATTCCTTCCCTCATTCCTGTACACGGAGGTCCGGAGGAAGTATCCGTGGATATCCAACGTTCGGAGCCGAAGGACGATTCCGTATGTTGTTTCAGATTTAAACTCGTACAAACCTTCAGTACTTAAGGTAGGTCTAGAAAACTTTGAGTGAGGTCCCACTAGAAATGACTGGACTTTTTTGCTATAGTCTCTCCGTTTTGTCCTCCTATACACCAATATGAATGCTTCAAACATTAATGTTACGGTTAGTCTTATTGAATTTGGCAGTTTTAGAGCCTGCCTTGATATTTTATTTTATTCTATTCTCTTAATCTATCGAAGGCGCTGGTATTTGACTACCACAGGCTTGGACATTATATAAGAGTCCGCACTTATAGATATAAAATTACACCAGGTCAAATTGTCAAAAGACAAATTTTCATTCACTGTTCCAATTCCTTCAGTTTTGTACATTAATGAACATTCCCAGAGGTACAAAATGTAATGGTATAAGTTAACTTACACATTATCCCTGTAATTTTGTTTTGGAGGTAATGGTATTTGTTAACTTACATATTATCCCTGTAATTTTGTGTTGGTGGTAATGGTATATGTTAACTTACACCTTATACTCGTAACCTTCAGTAAGAGTTAATGGTATATGCTCGCTAAAACATAATCCTAGTTATTTTGTGTTAGATTTAATGGTATATGCTAGCTAATACATTATCCCTGTAATTTTGTGTTGGAGGTAATAGTATATGTTAACTTACACATTATCCCTGTAATTTTGTATTGGAGGTTATGGTATATGTTAACTTACACCTTATACTCGTAACCTTCAGTAAGAGTTAATGGTATATGCTAGCTTACACGTTATTCCTGTAATTTTGTGTTATATTTAATGGTATTTGCACGCTAAAACATTATCCAAGTAATTTTGTGTTAGAGGTAATGGTATATGCTAGGTAAAACATAATCCCAGTAATTATGTGTTAGAGTTAATGGTATATGCTAGCTAAAACATAATCCTAGTTATTTTGTGTTAGATTTAATGGTATATGCTAGCTAATACATTATCCCTGTAATTTTGTGTTAGATTTAATGGTATATGCTAGCTAAAACATAATCCCAGTTATTTTGTGTTAGATTTAATGGTATCTGCTAGCTAATACATTATCCCTGTAATTTTGTGTTAGATTTAATGGTATATGCTAGCTTACACGTTATCCCTGTATTTTGTGTTAGATTAAATGGTATATGCTAGCTAAAACATTATCCACGTAATTGTGTGTTAGATTTAATGGTATTTGCAAGCTTACCCTGTAATTTTGTGTTAGAGTTAATGGTATAAGTTTACAAAATTTACCACGTGGGTGTTTTTTTGTTAAAAAGTATATGCCATTAGATTTATCTCTTTGAAGTCTTAATTTTATATTATATCAAATATGATTTAGTATTATTTTAATATTCTATATGGTTATTAACGTTGCGTTCATACCTGTGTACTTTTTCAATATGCCATCAATTAAATATTAAACGAAAACACAATAAAAATAACATGCGATATATCTAATGGTAAACTTAAAAAACAAAACAGGTAGGGATGGTCGTCAGTATCTGTTTGTTTTAATTTAGCTACCAATGCTTGGCTCCAGAGAAGGAAGGTGTGTAATGTTGTAAATGAGGTGTTGGCCTTTAAAAGCACTAGAAATGTAAAAAGGATAACTTTATGCTGCTTTTAGAATGTCTTAATGAAAATAAAATTATTTTGATGTATGTTCGATTTGCTCTTATTCGTTCTTTCTATATCGCTGAGCGATTTCGATGGATTCTTAAGTTTGATTACGAGTACTGACTTAAGTTTGATTACGACTAATGACTTAAGTTTGATTACGAGTACCGACTTAAGTTTGATAACGAGTACTGACTTAATTTTGATTATGAATACTGACTTAATTTTGATTATGAGTACTGACTTAATTTTGATTATGAGTACTGACTTAAGTTTGATTACGAGTACTGACTTAAGTTTGATTACGAGTACTGACTTAATTTTGATAATGAGTATTGACTTAATTTTGATTATGAGAACTGACTTAAGTTTGATAATGAGTACTGACTTAAGTTTGATTACGAGTACTGACTTAATTTTGATTATGAGAAATGACTTAAGCTTGATTATGAGTACTGACTTAATTTTGATTATGAGAACTGACTTAAGTTTGATTACGAGTACTGACTTAATTTTGATTATGAGTACTGACTTAAGTTTGATTATGAGTACTGACTTAATTTTGATTATGAGAACTGACTTAATTTTGATTATGAGTACTGACTTAAGTTTGATTATGAGTACTGACTTAATTTTGATTACGAGTACTGACTTAATTTTGATTATGAGTACTGACTTAATTTTCTTTATAAGTTCTGCATAGTTTTGTTGCAGAAATGGCATTTGATTTAAATGTGTACTGGAGTTTTAACAACTATATACAAATAATCTAGGAATGGAAAACAAATATGAACATAAGACATGAAAAATAATGTCTCCTCTGACATAATTTGGTATTAAATACAGTTTGCCAAAAATAAATTACTTTCCACTATACATTTTCAGATGTTTCGTCCTTGTAGAACAAACCGTTAATGCGACGGACTAAAGATTGAAAATGCAAATTGGCTTAAACTACTCTTGACAAAAACGGAGTGTAGTTCCTAAGTCATCCACCAGACTATCACTCGCGGGTTCGTACCGCGTCCTTTCCATGCTTTACGACAGGCAGCGATGACGTCATCATGTGGTGTGTTTGTACCATGTATGGAACGACGTCCGTCTTCCATCCTATAGAGTACCTGTTGGTATGTCCATCCTATAGAGTACCTTTTGGTATGTCCATCATAGGTGCTCTATTTTAAGCCGCAGTCACATCTGACGGTCACGCACGTAGTTGACCGTAGTGGGGAATGACCGTAGTTGACTGTAGAAGACCGTAGATGACCTTAGTTAAACGTTGTTAGACGTAGTTCAACCCTTAACCCTACTTTAACCGTACTTATCAGTACTGGGAACGTACTCCAAACGTAG